CTGGCTTATCAAATATTAGGAGCAGGCGCTGATGCAGGTCTATCCTACTCCTGATTTAAAGACGGCTGAATTGCTAAATATTTTTATTAGCAGCAAATTTGCGGCTTGCTGGAACTAATTTCACGCCCAGTAGATATGGAGCTTAAGCTGGGGATGGCGTTAAATTGCTCTCTGGTACGGGTGCATAAGTCCTTTGGGGATGATGTTGGATGGGAGCGGGTGCCAGGGTCCTTTTGGGGCATCATTTTGGGGCGACATCTCTGGGGTGTGGCTTTGCTTTTGGAGGGGCTAAGCTTGCTGCAAGCACAGAGGGAGCAGGGAGCAAGGTTGGGAAGATGCTCTTTGTGTTTTAGGGATGCATTTGTCATATCTGTGATATTTGGGGCATTGTGAGCGACAGCATCCTGTGGTTCTTCACCACGTCTGGAAAAGGCTTTTCCATCGCACTGCTGCTGTGGGTTGGACGTGGCACAGATGGGGAAGGTGGGCTGTGGGCGGCACTGGGCGCAGCTGGGACGGTGCAGGGCGACGGGCACACGGCGCTGTGGGCTCTGCTGACAGCCACAAATGCCCGTGCTGTGATGAGGGCTGTTCGATCCCTGCCCGGCATCTCCCCAGCGTCACGCACAGACCGGCCGGGGGATGAGTTGCCCTTTTCCAAAGAGAATCACTAATGAAAGAAAGTTAAAATAATATAGGAGAGTTCATAATGGCTCCGGTGGGGATACGGCTCTCTCACAGGAACCCATTTCGTATTATCTTTCTCCTGCTCATGGCGGAAATCAATTTTAATAGCGGTGACAGGAAATGAGGATGTAAGACTTCAAATAGAACAAATCCTGCAACGCTCAGAAATAATAAAATGGGATATGAAGTCACTTTTTAAATAAAAAACTTGATCTTGTCAAGAGAAAATGCGTCTAAAAGCACCCAAACGTGCTGGGCTTGGGGGACAGAAGTGGTTCTCACTGTTGGGTGAAATTTCCCCCACGATCAGCACACAGTCTGAAGCTGAACTCGTACTGCTTTCTGGGATCTTTTTTCCAGTTAGATCTCATCCAAAGGTGAAGGGGGGAAAAGAAAGCCTGGAGTGGGGCAGCGCTTCACTACTGGGCAGTGGCTGTGCAAAGCCCGGCCTCCATCTGCAGGACACCATGTGATTGTAACTGAGCTTTTTGCTAGCTGTTATTGTTTTGTTTATTCATTGTTCTTTTATCAGTTATCATTGATTTGATTATCAGTCCCTGGTGCTCTGTTTCTATAGTAGCCCACTGACATTTTTTAACCCAGGGACATTGAGGGTTTGGGGAGCCTCCCAGACCAGGACGGGCTTCTGCAGACACGACATTCCCTAAAGCACATTGCGAGGTGTCCGTGTTGCCTTTTCCCATTGAATAAGAATAGGAATGCGGTCACTGCTTCCATCCTTGCTCCAGAACCTTTTCCAGACACGTGCGATACCGCAGAGCCATTCGATGGAACTCCCAACACTTAACTTTAAGTGGCTCATCATCATTAGATCTTTTGGTATTCCTCGTAATGGCGTTAATCACGGGCCACTCATTAGATTTTAATGTGGCTGTAATATGTTCATCCATTGTCATTCAAGTGCAATTTGGCTCACTGGAAGGGCTGAGCGGTGTCACTGGGTTTGATGGCAACGCCCTGCGTTCCTCTGCCTTGTCAGCCAACAGCCAGGCACTCTGTGGTCTTCAGAAATTGAACGGTGGGGTTTTCAGAGCCTTTGGGTTTGTATCAGCACACTGGGGACGTCTGAGCTGACGGCTCACAGCTTTGTCCCATCACGCATGGGCAGCCCCGGGTTGGGGTCACACCTCTTGGGGACATCCCTGGGCATCCCTGCTCCTCTCCAACCTGATTTTTATTACTGATTGATGGGGGAAAAAAAAAAAAAAAAGGAAAGAAAAACAGTTAGAAAGAGAAAGGAAGCAAGTCCTTTCTGCCCTTCCAAAACCCCATGATGGCATCCCCATGTTCTCATGTTCTCCAAGCACATCCTTTTATGTCAGCCCTGTGGTTTGGGCTGGGATCTGGAGGAAACACTTCAGTTTTCCCAGGTCCATCTGTGAGTCTCTGGCTGACTCTAGCAGACGCATTATGAGGCGTTTGGGTGGTACATGGGATGCTTTTGGGGAACTTAGGCAGAAAATCAGAAGTTGGCTCATCAGATGGCCTCCTGTAATTGCAGTGCAAAGCCCCAGTCACAGCGGGGGCTGTTAAAAGCAGAACTGAATCTTTGCAAACTTTCATGGGTATAATTTCAGGAGAGATCAAAAAAATGACACTAGCATCGGGATGTAAAGCTACTCAAAATTCAAAGTTTATAGTCCATCTGTCTCTTTGCTTCAGGGAGCCTGTATTAAATTTATTGCTAAATAAAACAAATAAGCCTAGCAAAAATCGGCACCGAAATCTGCATACCCAGATGAGAATTAGCACACGTCTCTTGCTATGATGGCTGATTCTCAATTTGCATCCTTAAGGAGTTGTGACCAGAGCTGCACCTCCTGTGTCCCCGTGGGCTGGGTGAGCCCCCAGCATGGACCGAGCCCAAAACACTGCAGGTTGAGCCCAAATCCACCGGGCTGCAGCAGCACAGAGCGTGGATGGGAACTGCGGCTGGGAGACCCCGAAGGAGCAGCAAGACTTTATTACGGCTGGAAATTAAACATTTAAAAGCAGCGAGTTGGCAGTGGGGATTTTCTAATAAAAGCCATCTCGCCTGCCATTTACCCAGCACTTCCATCCAAGAGGACCCCAGCGCGCTTTCCCAGCTCAGCAAGGTGTCATTAACCCCTGGCCGGCTGATGGATGCCATCCCTCCTCCTGGTGCCTACGGGTTATTGATAAAGCCTTCGCTATACCCCCCTGCACTTACCTGGTGGGGGCTGTTATGTGCGGAATGCGCCGTGCCTTGTTTGTTTTCCAGCAGCAAACAGCACTGCTGCGCTGCTGCCACGAACGTTTTGGGTTTGCTCTCCTCTCGTTCCCAGGAAAGTCGTGTGCTGGGATAAAGATAACATCATTGAGCAGTGGTTCTCTGAGCAGTGTTTGTCTGCTGGTGTACCGCAAATGGAGGGAAATCAGAATAGCAGAATGAAGCACAGTTGAAAAAGAGGTAAAAGCTGGAGGGTCCCTTCGTTTCAGCTTCATGCCTTAATCAGTTCTGCCCGTGTTCCTGTGATGCTGAGGTTGCGTTGGATGACAGTGATGGATGACTCTCAAAACTCAGTGGGATTTGGGCAAGGCGTGGGAAAGCATGCGAGCCCTAACTGACATCCCAAATATCCGGCACCAACGCAGCACCCAGAGCTGCAGGGCCTGCAGGGGGCCGGGAGCAGCCAGCAGTCAGCGTGGTGCGTCGGGCTCCTTGGAGCCTCCTGGGTGGGTTTTGGGTCGGCCATTTGGGGCTGAGCCGTGGCCTCTGCCCAACACCGCACCTCACCTGGGCTCATCATCCACCTCTCACTGTTTTAACTTCTATTGCTTAATAATTTACCCTCTCCTCCCTTATACATATTTCAGGGGATTTCAGCATCTCCCATCATGGCGTGCATCAGGAAATCCAACACCAGCTCCAGTGCAATCTTGGAAGGAGAACTGAATTATTTATGGTAGAGTGGTCAAACGACAGAGAGCGAAGCACCAGGCCTGGTGTAATTTCGTGTCTCCTGCAGCCAGTTATGTAAAAATGTAAATATTACAAGTTATCTGTGTCACTGCTCTTGCCAAATGTTTAATATTTTAGTAAAGTTGCACTGAGTACTCTTGCCACTTCACAGAAGGAACTCGGTGTGCTCTTGAATAAGTGCTAATTAGTTTGCTCTAATTTACAACTTCAAGTGCACAAAACACAGCCTTGGTGTGGGTGCGTGGTGCAAAGTCCCTATTTTTGCCAAAAGGGTTTAATTTTAGGGAGGTTTCCATTTCCTGATGTGGGACGGGGAGTTTTGAGCAAGGGTTGGGGGGTTGGATTCCCTTTGCAGCATCCCCTATGGAGGTGTATTTGTTATCAAAGTGGCTGTACTTGATATCAAATCTGGATGCGTTTCGTACCAAGCTGATGGAAATTCATGAGGGGGAGAAAAGAATGCAGTGAGAGCCAATGCTGCCCTCAGATGTGGGATGGGTGCTTTACGTATGCATCCAGCCCATCCCGTCCAGCCCCACACCCCAGCATTTCCCCCAGCCCTGCGTGGAGCTGAGCACAGCTTTATGGCTGCTCTGCTGGGTGCTGCCCATGCAATAGCAGAGATGCGGGATGAGCGTCCAGCCCCAATTTGTGCTCCAAATCCAAACCAACACGAAATCCCCAAAAGTCACTGCCCCAAGTCAAAATATAAGGAAATATATGGAGAAAAACAGAAATTTCAGTGCATTTCTCCCCTTTCGTTTTTTTGTGAAGAAGGAAAGCCGGGCGGATAGCCCGCACTTCTGATCTTTTTGTGCTATTTAGCAAAGGGAACAGGCAACACCTCGCCCACGTGCCTCAGCCAAGAGGTGCTGGGGGCGCCGGCTGCATTTTTTTTAGCGAGAAGCCAAATTTCAGAAGTTTATTTCCAGGAGCGCGGAAACAAAAAGGGAGCGGCTGGAAGGCGGCCGTCCAACCAGCGCCCATCGCCGCCAACGTCCGCGCTCGATCCCATCGCTCCCACTGCCCCCAGCGCCCATTGTTCCAGGTTTCCGCACTGCTTCCAGCGACTCCCGCCGTCCTCAGCACGCCCAGTGCAGCCACGACTGCGATCCGCACCGAGCACCGCCCCGCACCGCCCAGCACCAGCGGCCCGACGCGACCCGGCCGGCGATGCAGCGCGGTGAGCGCGGCACCAAGGGCGCGTGGCGCAGCGCGAGCCGCTCCGGGACCGTGGGCGGAGCTGCGCGCGGCGGTGGGCGGGGCTGCGCGCGGCGGTGGGCGGGGCTGCGCGCGGC